GCAGGACATGTTGGAATTAACTACCAAGTTCGTAGATGTATTATACTACAAAAGACCTAATCTCTTAAAATATAAATTTCATACATGTTAATTTCATACACCTACCAAGTTTATATGGTTTACTCATTCTTTTGACCACTCACCATTTTTAAAATCATTACACTAGAACTGAAGACATTTATCTTGATTGAGAACTGTTCATAGTTAACATATTTTGGAGTCATTTATCTATTGTAATTTGAAATTTTATAAAAATTTATAAGCAAAAATTTATCATGGATATACAAAGAGCAAGAATCGGCATTCAAGGACTATTACAATTACTGTGTTCCAGCAACCCTTCTAGTAGTATCATGACTTTCATCATCGACTATAAACAATCTTGCTATGCCAAAATTTAAAACTTTTGAATTCATTTTAATATCTAGTAAAATATTGTTGGGTTTAAGACCTCAATGGATAACTCATACATAAGAATCTTTATGAAAATTAAGAAATTTTTTAACAATACCTCCTATGATTGTAGAGCGCATTTCCTATGATTTTATTTCTCATTTTTCTTTGAAAAGAAAAGAAAAAGCAACATTCATACTCAAAAATATAAAAATAAAGAAAACCTAATGAATTTGAATTTCATAGATGTTAATATAAAATTTTTTCTTTGATATTATTGATAATTGAATGAGTTTTATGAGATTTTAGTTGATTTTATATAATTTATATTCCTTGTGTAGGAATGACTTAATTAGAAGAAATTATAATTTTTGGGATCAAATCGAAGAAATCAAAACTATAAAGATCAAAGTGTCAATTGATGAAACATAAGGAACCAGAATAGTTTTTGCATTTTGGTCCAAAATCCTCGGGTATTCTTTCTTCACGGTTACAGTGAAGGTATCGGCACTTGCTTTATTTCCGCGTGGGTCAACACCTAGGGCGATTTTGAGCAGTTCCGTATGCCGCCTTATTTTTGTGTTGTCCGACGCCAATTCTTTTTAAACTCAACCCCCTTAAAATCAACATAGAGAACGTAATAAAAATTTATTTATGATAAAAAATTAAAGATTTTTAATTTTTATAAATTGAGTTTTTTTAATTATTTTTATTTGTTATTTAATATTTTTATATTTGTAACTATAATTATAAATCTCATTATTTTTGTTTATAAAAAAAGTTTTATTATTTTCATTATGGACTAATTTAGCCTAATAATGTTACAATATATTTTAATTCATTTAATATAAATTTTATAATTTTTATATTTTCAATTACAGTTATTTACACGATGATAAATTTTTGTTGTTGAATTTAATGTTTTAGAAATTTGATTACCTTTTAATGATTACAAAATTATGCACAAACTTGAAAAAGAATTGTAGGAATTAGATCAACAATAATAAACTATGAGATCGAAAGATAATTAAAGTTATATGTGGTCATGGAGGAAAACAAAAGAGTTAATAACTTCCTCTTCTTAAACTAGAGGTTTCTACGTCACTTAATGTGCATTAGTTTATTTTAAATTATATGGAGATATGATGAATTTAACAAATAAGTAAAAAGTTAATTTAACCTAATAAAACTAATTAGTTAATCAAGGAAAACTCTCCATTAAATGCAATAGCACTTAATAAATTAGTTCTTAAATCATATTAATCTAGAATTTATATAGATTGATTAAGATAAAATTGAGTGTCTAGATATCTCACATCTTAGTTATTTTTATTTTAATTGTTATTTTTTTTATTATTCTTAATTAAAGTTTATTTATTTTTTATTGTTCAAATAATTCTAGAGTTTATTATTATTAGTACTTAATTAATCATAATATACACTCTAATCATCATAATATTACTTAAAACTTGTTTGGTATATCAGTTAAAACTTAATAGATAGTGAATGATGGTTAGTGGATAGTAGATAATAGATAATGAAAAACAAGCAATGCATAGTAGATAATAAATTTTATTAACATGATGCTTTGTTTATACAATAGTTAATAACTGTTATTCAATATTCAATAACTAATAAAGACATGTTTAAAAACAATTAAATGTATTTTTTTTCTTTTTATATTTTTTATTATCAAAATTATTAATTTTATTAAAATAATAATAAATAAATATATAAAATAAATTATAATAGTGTAATTACACATTAATTCTTATTTTTAACAAAGAAAAAATTATATTATTTTTAAATAAAGTATAAAAAATTTTAATCTGTTTATCTAATTAACAAATTTTGTTTATTAATGTCACGCCCTAGAACCCAAATCCTTGGGCGCAACAGACGCCGTGCACTCGTGAATGGATCCCACAAATGCACAAGGCTTGGAACTTACTGTGTTCATAATTACCAATTACATAGCTTAAATCTGAAAACTCGGTTAATGACTAACTTTTGATTTCCAAAAATTTGCTAGTCCAGATATATAACAGTTTATAATCAGTTATGGCTATAACCAAGGAAACTTTGTACACAAAAATGGTTATTTGGGTCAATCATGAGAGACTAGCGGCCTAACTCCAAAAGATCTAAATCCAAAATAATGCCTAACCGTCTAGCTCGTCACTCCCCCGGCTCCCCATGTGTTGAGTATCATTACCTGAAATGGTGGATAAGGAAAACTAGGTGAGATAAAATATCTCAGTAAGTAAAAATATGGATAGCCCGTAAATAAAATTTTAGCATGCCTGATAAATAGTTTAACATAACAAAACGTTCCATGATAAACCGTTAATGCAGAAGAAAATTCAGTAGTAGTCTCATCTGTAAATCAATAACGAGCGTTCAATGATAAACCATTAATGCAGAATAAAATTCAGTAGTAGTCTCATCTATTAGTCATGGCCAGTGTTTAACAAACTCCCACTGACAGGCGTCAGTAATTACCAATGTATTCGTCCATTAGCAGGCGCCAGTAATTACTAGTGTTTAACAAACTCCCATTAGCAGGCGTCAGTAATTATCAATGTATTATTCCATTGGCAGGATTACAAAATGAACCGGTCATATCAGTAAACATGTTGACATGTGCTAGTGTTTGCAAACTCTCACCGGTGGGTGTCAATAATCATGACTATATCAAAACAAAACCATGCAGGATTTACAAAAAAAATTCGTAATTCACAATCAAATCTCAAATTTCAAAAATAATCGAAAATTTCCATGTGGGCATGGATTTAACAGGAAATTCATAATTTACAAAAATTCTCAAATTATCAGAGTAGTTCAGAAATTTCCAAGTGGCATGCTTTACTCAATGCAAATGAAAACAATTCCATTTCAAATCAATCATACTCGGTGCTAATAAAATCAATTTAAAATCAATTTAAACCTTGCCACCATCTCAAAAACAATTTAAAACATGCTTTGAAATCGAAAGGCATTACCATAATTTTACTTACCTCAAATCACGTAGTACCGAAAACTCAAGCCAAGTGCTCAAGTGACAGAACACTTAAGAACCTAATCAAAATTCCCCAGAATTAATACTGTACTACCACAAATTCAAAGTGAAAACATCATTAGGATCACCCCCTAATCAAGATGCTATTTATATTAACCTCCACATGACCAGACACCTCTAATTTCATTCTTCTTTTAAAAGTTAATTATTTAATCCTATTCCATGATTGCCAACCATTAATCCCAATAGGCAAATTTTATTTCTTTATTCTTCTTCTATCTAAAATTTGAGCACACAACATCAAATTGTATATTTATATATATGTATATACATAATTACACATATACAACATTTCCCAAATTCATGGACAGAACATGGAGGAACCGGCTTTGGCGAAAATTGGCTAAGTCACGGGATTTTTCCATATAAACCTCACAGCAGCCTAATTAAACTAATTCCTACATGAATTAAGCTAAATCATGGTCTAATTATTGTCAAATTTCTCCCCTATTTCCAGCAAAATATTCGGACACACAGGGCAGTAATTACTTGGATAATTTTAGCAATTAAATGGGTGAAATTGGACTTAAAGGAAGCTGTCCATCATACCAGAAAATTCCGGCAAGCAGCACCGGGTCTGGCTGGGAAGGAAGCCGATGGGGAAAAGAAATGGAGGAACTCACGGCAACTACCAAATTCAAGAACCCACAACAAAATTAGAGTAACCCAAGCCAAATTAAGGGAGAAAAGATGAATTCCATGGTTGTTGCTTACCTAGAAACCAAGAAATTCACACCCACACCAAGTTGAAACCACCGACAGGGAAGGAGGAAGGCAGCTAGATCTGGGATTTTTCTTGTTTTAGGAGGCTTCTAGGTCCTAATTCTTGTTCTTGAACAAGAAAGCAAGTGAAATATTTAAGCTTTTGCCAATTTTCCTCAAGAGGGAGCGGTCAGCAGCTTGGGGGGCTTTTCGGGTTGCATGGGGTCGGGAGGAAGAAGATAAGCAGAACACGTGACCGGAAAGAAGAAAGAAAGAAAAAGAAAAAAAAAGAAAAGAAAAGAAAAAAGATCAATCAATCCTTATCCTATTTCCTTTCTTCTAAATCCCTGAACTTTGAAAGTTTCTATTATTAAGGCCAACAATATTATTCTCTCACAATTAAGTCTATAACTCACCCTTAAATATCCTAGAAAATTTGGAGATATTACAATTAAGTTAATATATTTTTATAATAAATTAATGTAAAAAATAAAAATATAATAACCACTTAATGTTATTAAAGATAAAAAAAGTTAAAACTAATTAAGTAAGTACTAATTAAAAATTGTGGCTAAAAATTAAAAAATTAAAAAAGATAAATTTGTCAATACAATTAAAAATTTTCAATTCATTAACAGTTTGATATAAAAAATTATCTTAAATAACTTTTTAATTTACTAGTGGTTTGAATGTCAATCATTCTTTATTAATTTCAAACTGTTAAATAATAACTTTATCAAACACCTAATTTGTAAGTGTTTCAAAATAAATAAATTTATCAAACATTTATTTTTAATAATTTGAGTAAAACTAGTAAACGGTACTCTCAAATCACTATACCAAACAAGTATTAAAGCAACTACTAAACTTACCAGAGTGATTTTTAGCTCATCGAAATCACTTCCATAGGGTTAGATAACAAGACCACGTCGTTGACAATGTAGGTGAATTTTTTTTTTTTTTTAACACGATAAAGTAGGTGAATTGATTTTTATTTATTTATTTATTTTTTTTTCCAAGCGCGAGTTGAATTGGTAGCCTTATGCATTAATGACTTATAAACCACACTGATTGATGGGATCTATCATCTTCAATCAGAAATTACCGCTTAACATATTTGTTTTTATAATGTGAATATTTTACTACTGGCAATTTATTGCTTGCGGAATGACTGTTGCATTATGTGATAAGAAACAAGGCTGAAGATATTTTCTTTAGAATGGTGGGGTCACGCGTATGGCTTTGTCACTGGAGGTTTTCTTGGAGGAAAATCCGAAAAGAAATTGCTCAAAACTGGTGAAGTTCAAAAATGGACTAAGAAAACTGTAGTATGTCTTCTGCTTTTCAACCACATTTCAAGCAATTCTTTGGGAAATATACATGCATGTCAATGGGAATAATTTTCCTTTAAACTGTCATCAATATGCTGAAATTGAAACTGATAATGTAAGTACGTAGTTTTTCAGTTAATAAATTTCTACATGCTTTGTTCAGTTGTCAAATATGTTTGAGAGGGGTGATTTATTATTTTATTGTCGAGAGTAGTTTGTTAATATACTGAAGTAAAAATAATTTAATAGAAGAAGTTGACAACCATTTGAGAAGGGTAAAACTCTTGATTAGAATAGTTTGTGAATATAATGAAGTAAAAATGAAAGAATGGAAGAGATACTCAAGGCAATTTCTTCTCCAGTTTCTCTTAAAAGAAAGCTGCACCTACTTGCTTGAGAGATGAAGGTTATGTTTGTGGATGTTTATTTTCTCTTGTATGGTACTAGCTATTTTTGTCAATTATTCCAAGATCAAATGAATTTGATTTTCTTTAAACAATGGATGAAACTGGGATTTCTCTGCTGCTTTCTGAAAAATATATAATTTTAGTGAATAATACCAGAATCAGTTGCTGGATGTATAAAATGATGTTGAAATTTGAATCCAGCTGATCTGATTCTTTTGATTAACCAGCCTGTAATGCATGGTTACTACCTACATGTTTCTCATCAACCAAACACTCTG